CAAAATGCAAATAATTATGTACTAATGAGATATATACAGGATAAACTGGAGACAGTGTCAGAAGGAAGGAACTAAGATGGAGGAGGACTAAGAAAGGCATCTTGCAGAGGGCAGGATTTTAGCTGAGATTTGAAGGAATACAGAAGGCAGAAGTGAGGAGGGGGAGCATTCCAGGCACAAGAGACAGACAATAAAAATGCAAGAAGTTGGGAGAAGTATCTTGTGGGAGGAACAGCAAGAATACCAATGTCACTGGATCATAGAGAGAAGTGAAGTGTAGGAAGACAAAGTGTAGGAGGTCTCTAAGTTGTGAAAGGCTTTAAAAGACGGTTTTATGTGTGATCTTGGAGGCAATAAGGGGCCACTGTTGTTTACTGAGTAGGGAGTGACATGGTAGGCCTGTGCTTGAGGAAGATCACTTTGCCAGCTGAGTGGAAGATGGACTGGGGTGGGGAGAGACTTGAGGCAGGGAGACCAAGCAGAAGGCTTCATTCTGTTTGGCCTCAGACAACAAGACTGAGTACAATGGGTACAGTTGCAAAGAGGGAAGTTTAGGCTTAATTTCAGGGGGAAAAAAAGCCTTTCTAATAATTTGAGCTGTCTGAAAGGAGAGTGGGCTGCCTTGAGAGATGGTGAGTTCCCTCTCATTGTAATTCTTCAAACAAAGGCTGGATGACCATGTGTTAGGTGTATGATAATGGAAATGCTTGGTATGTGTTAGACTTGATGGTTGCTCCAGTCTCTTCCATTCTTCCTCAGAATGAAACCTGTGATTCTGTAGAGGGACTATATTTTTAATGAAAGGAAACCATCCTCTTGAAAAGGGCATGTTTCAAAACGTAATGTGAGTTTAAATACAAAAAGAATCAGTCTGATTTTCTAATGAAAACAACTTCATTTAAATTTTGATTGGTTAAGGAAGTGGTATTCCATTGATCATCCTGTAATATTTAAAAAGAAACATGATAAATCACAACTAAATTTTAATACAGATGTTACATCTCTTGGCCTTAATGTCCTAATCTGTGAAACAAGAGCGCTGGACAAGATGACCCCTAAGATTCCTTACAGCTTTAGACTGATGATTCTATAAGAAGTGTTATGTCTGTCCATCTGAGCAAGCTATGGGGATGCGGCCAGTTTAGCACCCCAAGGTCCTTAGTTTTCTTACTGTCCGTTCTTACCTTTGCTTAGGCCCATCAAAATGGTTTTTGTGATTTATATGCTTCAGCTAAAAATTGATTTAAAAAACACTTTGCAATCACCAGCCAGGCATTTGCTGGTATTTCATGATGAGGCAGGGGCAGTAGACTCAGTTGCTTCTGTGCTTGGACTAATTCTGACCTCTCACTTGCACCCCACTATTAAGGTGTCTGAAGCACAAGATAATAATTCATTCTAGCTGCCCTGAGTCATGCTTGTTATTGCTTGTGTTGAACTGAAAATAATATGCAATACTTAATATCAAAAATACTATTTTTCTTGATCAAAAACTTCTCCCCATGGACTACTTCATTGAGTGGCTATAATACCACTTTTCTACCCACGAGAAACTCATAGAACAGTCCCATGCACATCCACTACTCAAGAGTAATGACAATGGCAGATGATACATTAAGCCCTGTGTATCTTTTGAGATCCTTGGACAGAAGACAACTCTGAGCATCAAAGGAAGTAAAAATATCTGAATCCTACCTCTGGACTAGCAGTGTCCCGGTTATCTGTGAGAACTTCCACCTGTCTCTTAAACAGTTCTAACACAGCATTGTAGACCATCTCATACTGCTCCTAAAGAACAACACAAACCAAGCATCAAAAGCCACGAAACTGTAGGGCTGAGTTAGAGGCCACGTGGCCTAGTGGAACCAATAACGTGCAGTTAGGAAACCTGCCTTTAAATCCTGCCTGAGACGTTTGTTAGCTGTGTCATCGTGACCACATCATTTAACCTCTCCAAGACTTAGTTTTTCTGATCTGTAAGATGATGATATTCATGTTGCTGGTATCCACCGTACAGCCTTGTGGTAGAGCTCAAATGAGAGGATGCATGTGAAATGTTTTACAAACTTTAGAATGCTATAGACATGTCACCTTATATTAGAAAAAAGTGAACATGGAGGTAGAAAATGAGAGAAGTTTCAGTGGGCCAGATCCCGTTAGAGAAAATTCTGCAGGACTGCCTCACTTTTTGTAGATAAAAACAACAATTTTGGGAAGCTGTTGTGGCAGAAAGCACACTGAATTTTGGTGTCTGAAGTCAGGGAGGCTGCTTCCTGGCTCAGCTATTTCTGTGCTCGTAAGTGAATTATTCAGCTCCTCTGATTTTTCTCATCTATAAAATAAAAGGAAGGGGTTGGATGAAATGATTTCTAAAATGTCTTCCATTTCCAGAGCCTATAATTCTATTTGCATATTTAATGCTTTGTAGTTTTCAAAGCACTTTTATGTAATTATCTCATTTGATCCTTACAACAACCCTATGTGGTCAACAAGCACTTGCTAAACACCTACTACGTGCCAGGCTAACTGCTAAGTGCTGAGTCAGTGAGAGAGTCTGTAAAATTATACCTGATTCTCCAAATGACATAATCAGAGGCAGAGCAGACGATATACCACATTTTGAGTCCTAGACCAGTGTTCTTTCTACTGTGCTATATTACTGAAATGTCTCACATAATGTTTAAAAAAATGCCCACTGACTGGGGTTTCTAAATCTTAGATAAAGTTACAGATTTTCATTGTAAGGGGATTTAACTTCTATTGCTGATGGATTCCTGCTTCTGCTATCCCGAGTTTTCTTCAAGAAGAACCTCTAGATGCAGCAAACTGGTGTTTTAGAAATGTGCATTGCATTGGAGTTCAGATCGTCTTTTCATTTGAATGATATTGTTTAGGGATTTTCCCTTACTTTGACTTCACATAGTCTTAATCAAATTAAGTACAAACTTTCCATAAGTGAGCTACTTGTAGCTGTTCAGTACATCTGTAGTATCTCAGGGATTGGCATCTTGTTCATTTTCAGCCAAAAATCTCTGTAACTTTTGTTAAGAGGGAAGGAAAAAGAACCAGGAAGTTTATGCTTCGATTATGCTTTATTTTCTGGGTGGAAGAAATTGAAAAAAAAATGAGTGTCTTAATTCACAGCTCTTTGATAATGCCACATTATAGGGGTGAATTTCAAAATGTTTCAGGCATCTTATACTTGGCTCGATTAGGAAAACATTCAGGTGGCTCTCATTTGGGGATATTTCTTTTAAAAAGTGCTTCCATACAACATTCCTAGGTTGTATACATTGTGAGATCTCATTCCATTTGCATGGACTGACCCTCCCTTGAAGTCTGAAAATGGAACAAATCCATGTCTACATTTGATTAAAAAAAAACCTTTCCTACTTCACAGGAAGGAGAAAGAAAACACCCAATATCAACGTGAGAGAAGTTTGGGGTTTTTTTTTCCCCCACAGCGTCTTAATGGAAAAATGCAAACTTCTCTTGGTGTGGGGCAAATTTATTTTGTAATAGTTATTTCTTCTTCTTTGACCTGACTCATCTTAACAAATTGTTTATAATTTCTAAGTTAAAATACTTGTTTTGTCACTACCAAGACAGGGGACAAAACTGTCAAGTTTTCTCTTTGGCTCTATTTTCTTGCCTTATTGTGGCATGATGGTGACCCTGAGTTCTTGAACTTTAAGTTAGCAGAGCCACAAGCTATGGTGGATCCTACCAAACTGGAAAGTCTTTAAACAAAGTCCCTGCCAAAGACCATGTATCTGTGGTATAAGGCACACCTAAGTAACGAAAAGGGGGCCACCAAGTAATTCATGTTTTTCCAAAGAAACGCCTAAAATGTATAAAGGTCATAAGCCACATTAGTGAAGGTTGTGACCGCATTGATGAACTCACAGGTCTTTCAAAGTATTAAAGTCTCTCGAGCTCAAGACAACAGGAAATTACATTCTCCTAGAAACATCATTAATCTTAGATATGAGCAAAATAGTACTAGTCATTTTCTTTCCAAGCCTATATGCAATTCCCGCTTTAAGCTCTTACATATCATGCCGAAGTAGACTTGTCTGTTTAAATCATAAAGGCCAGATGTCCTGATTTGCACCTACTTGCCGGGACATTTTGTCTATTTTGGAGACAGAGATCTGTATAGGAGCCCTAAGAAAAATAACTCAGTTATCCATGGAAGAAAAATCCAAGATCTTTGATGGCCTAGTCTTTTGATAGTCAATCTATTGCTATGACTTCCCATTCCTAATACAGTGCCTTGCACATAGTAGGTGCTTAATAAATGCTTTCTGATTATATGACTCTTGATGAGTCTATTACAGGGGTGAAGAACCTTTGACCTCAAGGCCATTGGCCTTCTAGGTCCTTGGGTGCTGCCTTATGACTGAGTCTAAGTTTTACTGAACAAATACTTTAATTAAGAGGATTTGTTCTATGAAGTTTGGATTCATTCAAAAGGCTGCACTTGAGGACCTAGAGGGCCATATGTAGCATCAAGGCCGAAAGTTCCCCACCCCAGGTCTATTATTATTATACCAGTGCTTATATAGCATATGGTCACACATAGTAGGTTCTTCATAAATGTTTGTTGAATGACATCTCATTTGCAATGACCCCTCTACCGGTTTCTACTGGTTGTCATTAACAAAAAGTGACTCAAGCAACAACTGTTATGACAACTTAAGAAAAAGCTCCTTAGGGTGGTGGTCTTAACTTTTGACATAGGAAGAAGGAAGGAAGACTCAGACATATGTCCTCTTCTGTTTGCAGGAAATTATTCATACCTGAGTTTGTACTAAGGAAGGTCTCTGTGTCCGCATGTCCTGAATTAAACTAAAAATACTGAAGTTCACAGGAATTATCTGCCAAATGAAAGAAATAAAATAAAATCTTATTGCTTTTGACCCAAACATCATTGATAAATTGTTCCCTTGTCCTGTCTTTTTTTCCATATCACTTCTCAACATCTGTGCTAAATTAAGGCTAAAAACAAGTGACTGCTGTCATTGCTGATATGTCTCCATACATGAAGGGAAGGAGAGAGAAGAGGAAGAGGAGGGAGGAGAAGGAGAGAACAAAGGAAAAGAAAAACAAAGAGGTTGGTGCTTTCGAAGGCTTAATGTCTAACCCTGGAGTACGTCTACAGAACTCCTCTAAAGTGATTTTATGTGTTTTTTTTAACATAGCTTTTAATTCCCTATTTTTTGAGGAAGAGACTGAATTACTGAAACGAAAGACATGATTAGAGAAAATGTGTAGCAGGTAAGCATGGGAATTCATATGACATATAGTAGAATGTATAATTCTATAGGACAGAAGTATATCTTATCAAATTTTTACTGCTAATTTGTTTTGGTTTTTGGGAAGCCATAATGATCTAAGTATCTGGACCCACATAATGTAGCATTTCCCAAATTATCTTTCAGGCAGCTAGGTGGTATGGCAGATAGAGTGAAAGGCCTGGAGTCAAGAAGACTCATTTTCATGAGTTCAGATCTGGCCTTAGATATTTACTAGCTGTGTGACCCTGGGCAAGTCATTGAATTAACTCTGTTTGCCTCAGTTTCCTCATCTATAAAATGTGCTGGAGAAGGAAATGGCAAAACCACTCCAGAATTTTTACCAAGAAAACTCCAAATGGGGTCATGAAGAGTTGGAAACAATCGAAAATTATCTTGCATGTAACCCTAGGGTGGCACATCATGTGAATAGGTAGGTACTCTATGAGAAAATTTAAATCAAACAGTAAAATCACAGATTTTACTTTAAGAAACCTTAGAGATTGTATAGAATAACTCCCAACCAACCTTGTTTTACATATAAGGAAATGGTAACCCAGACATGTTAAACTCAATGGCATGATAAGCAAGTAACAGAGACAGAATTTGAACTCAGGTTCTCAAACTCTAAAAACCAATGGTCTTCTTGCAACATCAATCCTCTTCTAAAATCCACCCTAAAGTATTAAATAATGTAGTATGTATATATCAAAAACATGCATAACAGTTTTTTATTACAAAAGTAAATTTAATTTCTTCAGTGTTGCTCTGAAATTCCCCCACCTCTTTATTCCAGAAACAGTCCACAACCCCCATACCCTGTAGCCTAGCATTTATAGGTTCCATCAATATATTTCAAGTTGAGAAATGTTCTGTAACCAAATTTATTTGGGGGACATTGGTATGATAACAAAACATTTTATAACCTATAGTAGTTCAGGTCAAGGATCAGTGTAGAACAGGGGCAGCTGGGAAAACAGCTTGGGCAACTGTGTGTATAACTGACTTTCTGGAATGCAGGAAGAAAAACTGAAAATAAATTTGGGAAAGCCTGAATTGAGAAACAGGTGTTTGGCAGAATGAAGCAATTTCTGAGTATCCCTGCTCCTGGGCAGGGCAAATGGGAAGTGCCTGCTGAGAGATACTCACCCCATCTTTAAGCAGTTTCCAGGTATAATCAACAGCACAAAGAACACCAGTCCTCCCACAGCCAGCACTGAAATAAAAATCACAGTACCGGGGAGAGTGGCAGAGTTACCAAATACCTGTCATCTGCAGACATTTGGGAAATTTCATAAGCAATGTTGACCAGGCAAGTTCATGGAGGCGATGAGGCTTGCCATCCGTGTAAATATTTCCCCGGGCACATTCACCAGCTGCCAGTGCTTTCCTCCTAGACCAGCTGAGCCTCTTCACCTATCCTGGATAATCTCTCTTAGCAGTCATCTCTCTCACTAAGTGGTGTATCATAAAAATAACATCTCAGGATTCTAGCTTACTTTTTAAGCCAGTGTGTTCTTGCCCTGCACCATACACTAAAATCCTAATCTGATGTTTCATCATGGTGTGAAGGTCACCCTGGGTTCTTAAAGACTTTGCCAACAGAACATAGGCTCTGGCAAGGCCCTACCAACCTGGAAAAGCTTCAACTATGGGCCTGGAAACAGACCACATGCCTTTTATTACGAGGACAAGCCTAGCTAAATGCAGGGAGGCTCACCACCAGAAGGTTGACCACCAGGGGGTGAATTTTTTTGGCCAGAGTAAGGCATGTACACCAGCTACTAAGGCACAGGGATTGGGGAGATAAGAGAGTAGGAGGGTGGAAGTGGGGTTGTTATTTGTGTCAGTGGAGAAAGTAACTACCTCTCTGAAATCACAGATATTTTAAAAATACTGAAGTTGGAAAAATACTGACCCCAACTTTTCTCCTTTATTGACTCATATTTCTGAGCTCCATTACTCACCAACCAACTGGGAGATATAGGGCTCAGACTGCTCTGAATGCTAAGAAAAACTAGTGATGCTTCAGTTATAGAAGAACCTGTGGTCTATGGTTTGTTCTAAAAGCAATCCTCATCTCCTCCCAGTTAGCACCATACCTGCAGTGAATACAAATAGGAACACTGTCATCCTCTTGGTAACATCGCATCTCCCAAATGAGCTCAAGGATGGGATCTATAGATGAGGGTACATCATGATCTGGCCAGTTCTTGTAATGAAACTGATAGATGGTTCGAGTTTCCTGCGAGAGAATGGCCAGAATAAAATAGGAGAGGGAGTTCCAAGTTGGAAACTGGGAGGTGCTTCTCCCATGAAAAGCCAACAGCTCCCACAAAACTCCCATCTACGAGATCAGATCCCCTTTGCCATGGATGCATTTTCTTCTGAGTGTAACAACCCACTCTCAAGTCATCTAGGTAGATTATACCAATAATTTGTCGTGATCTATTTCCCTGATATAAACTGGTTGGGCTAGGTCCATTCCCACAGAGGAAAGAAGTGGGAACATGTTAACAGAAGTAGCCCAAATGACTGACTGATAAGTCTATCAGTAAAGCCACAGATACCAAAGGAATTCTACCAATTCCTGATTTGCCCTTATCAAACTTACTCAGAATGGGTGAACCTAAGGCACCTGGACTTTGTCCTACTGAATACTAAATATTAAATCATCAGCCAGGACCACCCCAGGCCACTCAGAACTAGCCTTAAGTTCTGGGTAGGGCTGATTTCCTGGGTTTTGAAGTATGTGGCTTTAGTTCTCAGGACCACCAAGGCCCAGGGATGAGATCCAGCAAACCTATGTCCATTCCTAGAGCTTTTGTACATGCTATTATTAATAAACCCACAATTAGGCCATTTTAATATTTCTTGAAATCCCCTAACCAGATTGGCATCATCACTATTAAGTAAGTGAAAGGAAGATGCTTCAGACTTACACTGTTCAGCTTGGCTTTTAGTGTCCTGATAACATAATCCGATTTCTTGTTTTCAGATTCCTAAGGAAGATACATTAGGGGCAGTCAGTAAGATCTATAGACAAGTTGTTCCGTATAGTAATGTAGAACACTAGGATCTTTGTCCAATAGAATGGGGAGATTTGACATACTCACACAGGAGATGGAGAAGGGGCCACACTGTAGAACAGTCTCTCCTGGCTCAGTCCAGTAGCGCTCACACTTTTTCTGTGGCATAAAACAAGATGTCATGATTTCCTCTCCTTTCAACTTCTTCTGGGGAGCCCAAGTGACTTCCTATCTTTTGTCTTATAACATCTAATATACTTGGGCATTAACCCCAGTCTCATCCTGGCTACTCAAGGGTATTATATTCTAAAACGATGAAATTCAGAGACAGGATGATGAATGGCCTAAAGTTCATATAAATAGGTATCACTAGGGATGTTTAGCCTGCAGAAGAGTTACTGAAGACAGGAAAGCTGTTCTCAAGTATTTGAAAGCATTTGAAAAGCTTGTCCCCTAGAAGTGGGATCAGCTTTGCCTCTGAGGGCCAAACTAGGAGCAATGGATGGAAGATGGAAAGAAGAAAATTTGTGTTTAACTCAAGGAAAAATTCCTGACAATTAAAACCAGCCAAAAGTGGAATGGACTTTTTGGGAAAGTGGCAGTTTCCATGTGGCTAGACAGGTCTTCAAACAAAAGCTATAATCACTTTTCAGTTATGACATATAGCAGTTTTTTGCTTGGTGAGCAAAATAGAATTGCAGTAGCTCAAAAGCAATGTGTGAAGCAAAAATTTAGACATTTCTTCCCCAAATGTTCATGTGGATTATCTGTGCCCGACATGTGGTAGCGCCTTCTGAGCTCAAATTGGTTGGATCAACCACGGTACCTTGACCCTGACATAGTGATGTCATTTTGGTCCTCTTCGAGCAGGAAAGACAATAGTGAACACTTTTCTGGTATGCTATACAGAGGATTCTTATCCAGGTGTGGGTTATACTAGCTAGCCCCTGAGATCCTGTGATTCCATTTAATGAGCGTCTGATATGTGCCTGGGACTGTACTAGAATCTGCCAGAGATACAGGAGAAGTAGAAAACATTGCTTCTTTGCTCAGTTTTACAATCTAGTTAGGGAGAGATTCTAAAAGGCTCCTGAGGCCCCAGTGTGAGATACTCCAACATTCATTCATTCAATAAACCCTTGTTAAGTACCTGCCCTGTGCCAGGAAGGATTCAGTATGGATTCAAAGGCCAAAAAACAATATTAATAATAATAATCACTGCCCTCAATTTCCCCCTATTGGGGGAAAACAACATATACACAGAAAATTAAATGCAAAGTAGATATGTATTTCTGAGGGCAGAGTTCTAATAACTGGGAGGACCAGACTAGACTTACTTTAGAAGGTGGCACCTGAGTTGAGTCTTGAAGAAAGCCAGTGAGTTCATAAGGTGAAGGTGAGGAGGGAATGCCTTCCAGTCTTGGGAGATGGCCAATGGAAAGTGTTGCTATGAGAATTTTTGGTTTTTTAATTTTTTTATTTCCTTTTGTTTTTATGGGGAAGGAGGGAAGGGAGTTAGGAGGTTACTGAGCTGGCTGAAACATGTACCATGGGATATGAAACTATACATTAGGCCTCATATATTCCTCAGACAAGCCAAAAAGGGAGTCGAGGTTTCCTGAAATAATTTGACTTGCCTTATTTGAGGACAGATCCCAAATGGCATCAGCTCCTTGGTTGTCTTGGTGACATTAAATCCTTTCTACCCTCTCAATTAGTGCAGTCATTGAGACTTCTTTAAAATGTAGCTTAAAATGTAGTTTTATAAATGTAGGATTTTACAGACTCAGTGTTTAAACCTGTAACTTAGTCTGCTTACTAATTTGTTCTGACTTAATTTGTTCCACCTTAATTGAAGGAAGCATGCGATAATTAATCTGTTTGACTAGACCTATGTGACCTGAGACCATAAAGATTGTTATACATTAAAAAATTATTTCTCTGACATAATTTTATCTATAAAAAGCCTCACTAGAATCCTAATCTTTGTTCAGGGTTATTTTTCTGAATCCTGAACCTGTGCTTAACCATAATAAAACCTAGGTTTTACCACTGTAATTTCTGTGTTGTGGTAGATTCATTTTGGCAGCAGTAACCTGCCACAGAAACTCCCAAAGAGATTATTTCTCCCGTAACCAAAGGCACAGAGACT